GACAATCAAGAGACTTAACCAGAGGAGAGGGATGGCTGTTTAAAGGTTCAGGAGTAAGAAGAGTGAAGAAGCATAGCATGACTAGATCATAGATTTTGAGGGTTGAGGCTCAAGATGAAAGTGAAGACATAAGTAAGAGACATATCATGCTGGCCTTCATAAACTCTGCTAATGATTTTAATACCTTAAAATCAATGGGGGAAAATAATGCTAGCGAGAGATGGTGGTGGCCTAAACTGGGGTGGTAGCCATGGAATAGAGCAAAGTGGATTGATCCTAAAAGAATTCTGGAGTGAGAATCATCAGATCGTGGTGTTATTGGGTGTAGGTGGTAAGAGAGAGGGTAGCTACTAGCAAACGTGTCTGGGGGACCTGAATCCAAGTTTTAATATGTTAAGTCTGAGGCATCTGTGTAGGGACCAGGCACCAGTTGCATATATTGATCTGAAGCTCTGGAGAAAGAACCAGGCTGGAATTATAGATCTGGGAGGCATCACCTTGCAAGTGAGAATCCAAAGTATGGAGAGTGATCCAGAAAGTATGTAGAATGACAAGAAAGGTAAGCTGGGGATGGAATTTTGAGAGTTGCATTTAAGGGACAGACAGAAGAGAAGGAATCTCAAAAGAGACCCAAGGAGATAGCAGCAATAAAAGGAGAATCAGGAGGGTACAATGTCATTCAAGCCTCTGAAGGGAATACTTAAAGGAAGAAGTGGCCAGCAGTACCAAATGCTGGTGAAAGGTCAAGTCAGATTAGGTTGTGAAACCGTCCATTGCATCTGGTAGCAAGAAGCTTGTTGGTGACCTTGAGTAATTTTAATGAGGTACTGGGCATGAATGTAAGGTTGCAGAGGGTTAAGAAGTGAGTACAAGGTGAGCCAGTAGAAGACGTAAGTATAAAATATCTTAAGAATTATAAACATCTCCTAAAGTTAAGTTTTGAATTAGAGGAGAAAGACAGAAAGGTAACTAGCAAGGAAAGCAGGGACAAAGGAAAGGTTTATCTTAAGAAAAGAAAGTAGCATTAAAAATTTTTTGTTGAAGGTATAGGAGAGAAAAGGGAGATATCCAATAGAGACTCTGATAAGATGAAAGATGATGGAATCATTCATTCTTGTAGAAGACTTCTCTGATAAGAGACAGTTGAGCAAATCTATGAAGAGGGTGAGAAAGTGAACCATGTGGACACTGAGGGCAAAGTGCACAAAACAAATAAAACATCACATGTAAAGGCCCTGAGGTAGGAGCATGTTTCATTGCTAAAAGAACAGCAAGAAGACCAGCAAGCTGAAGTACTGTGAGCAAGGAGAAGAGTGGTAGGAGCTGAGATCAGAGAGGCGGTGATAAGTATGTTTTAGAAGGCCTCTTAGACGATGGAAAAGGCTTTGGATTTGCTGTGAGTGAGATGAGAGGCCACTGGAAAGTTGTGCAGAGAAGTGCTGAGTTTGTAAAGACGTCTCTTCTATGATGATAGAATGAGGATGGAGAGTTTCTGAATTAGAGAAACGAGGTTGCAGTTCATTCCCACTCAACTTCTGAGCTGGGAAGGGAGGTCAACTACTGAGACTTGTGAAGTATGAGAGATGGAATAAAGTGAACGGTGTCAAAATAACACTGAAGTGAAGATTTCTCAAGTGGTAGAGGTAAGGCCCTCCAAAAACCCACAATGAGACAATGGCAAACACAGAATTAACTTCTTTAGAACTTTTCATATTCTGTTAATTCAAATAAACAAAGTTTATTTATTTTCAATAACTTGAGTGTTTATTAAAGGAAAACACCTGACTGCAGGTAAAAACAGCAAGCTTTGGGATTTACCCTATTCCTATCACCCCCACCCCAGCTCCACAGTAACTTTGGAACAATTAATAGCCATGCAATCCCAGTGAAAACCAGCAACCCAGCAGCCACAGGAAGCGCACAGGAAGGGAGTAGAGCTCTCCTGAAGCTCTCCAATTCTCAGATAACTGTCACTCTGACCAGCCTGAAAGCTCCTGGATAAGCTCTCTTCTTGGGCCTTGTCTTTATTTAACAACTGCCCTATCACACTGAGTAGGGTATTCATAGAAAACAATTAATGGCAATTATTTAACACAGCAGCTGCCTAAAGCAACAATACCATTTGGGTCTAAGAGGCTACCAAAAAATTCAAAAGGAAAAATTGGGAAATGGATGTTCATAGGGGACTTTGAAAAGCTCTGACATTGCTGGACTTCTAGAAAGACATGTTCATGTGCACAGTTGTGCACATACTCAGGAAAGACCTGAGGTAACCTAGCCTCTCACCTCTGTCTGACCTTGAGGCTCTACACAAGCAGGAAGTGAAGGGAAAGGCATAGTTAAAACCTGAATGCTATAGCATTGATAATTTATCCCAACACATACACCCCATCAGAAAAGGATAGAGACTTACCAGTTCAAGATATTTAAGGAAATCACTGTATAATCATTAGCTGAACATTAAGATAAAAAACAGAGATTTTATTTGCTATATGCAAGAAAAAATAGATTTTTACAGAATTGGTTGAGGACAATCACTAAATAAATAAGTAGCAACAACAATGAACAGCAACAACAATACTTGGGGAGGGGGCAGACAATCTGATTTCCAGAGTTTCTATATTTTGTTATTTTAAATGTTCAGTTTTCAACAACAAAATATTGTAATATAAAAATAAGCCCCTCCCTCCCACACACATGCAAAAAGCAAGCAGTATAAACTCTCTGACAAAGTCCATAAATTGGATTTACCAGACAAAAATTTTAAACTATCATAAATATATTCAAAGAACTAAAGGAAAGTACATCTAAAGAACTAAAGTATAAGAACAATATTTCACCAAATAGAGAATACCACTAAAGAGACAGAAATTATAAAATTATAAAAAAAGAACAAAATAGAAATTTATAGAGTACCAAAAAATACAATAGGTGAAGTGAAAAATTCATGAGAAGATGTCAACAGCAGACTTGAGCTGACAGAAGGAATCAGCAAACTGGAAGGTCGGTTGAGATTGTACAATCTGAGGAACAGATAGAAAAAAGAAATATAAACAGAGCTTTAGAGTCCTGTAAAATACCATCAGGCATTCAAACGTGTGTAGAAAGGGGGGCTCAGAAGGAATAGAAAAAGGGAAAGCAGTGGAAAAAAATATTCAAAAGTTCCAAATCTGATGAAGAACATCCAAGTTCAATAAACTCTAAGTGGGATTAACTCAGAGATCTACATCTAGACACGGCAAAGAGAAGATCCTGATCATATAGAAAAGTAGGAAGATTCTGAACTCACTTCCTCCTTCCCTTCCCCCACACACCAAGGCTTCAGCTATATACGGAGCAACTCTCTGAGAACCTGAAGACTAGCAGAACGCTCTTCCACAGCTAAAGATATAAAGAAAAAGACACATCGTGAAGGGTAAGAGGGGCAGAGACTGGTCTGGTTGGGATCTCATCATGGAAACCCACAAGTGGGATTTTTCAAGCCCCACAATGAACACCACGTGCCCTGGGGACCTTCACTGAGAAGACCAGCCCCAGAATGTTTGGCTTTGAAAATCAGTGGGGCTAACTCTGGGAGAGCTGGAGGACTACAGAAAACTAAGACCCCATTCTTAAAGGGCCCATGCACAAACTCACTTGCTTTGAGACACAGCACAAAGACAGCAGTTTGAAAAGTGCTTAGGCTATACATGAAGGGGATTGATTGACTAATTTTACAGCATATTCGAGAGGGGAAGGAATCTGTAGAAATCTTCTCCAGGAATGGAAACACTGGCAGGTACCATTTTTCTTGACTTCATTCTGTCTCATTGGCCCAATACTGGCAGGTACTAGTTCTGATACCTTCCATCTACCTTGCTAGCACCTCTCACCCTGCCCTACAGTGCCCTTGCAAATTTGTCATGCCCCACCTGCCCACTCTTGTATGTGCCTTCCCAAAGTGGTTCCTAACATGCCGCACTCAGTAGGTGGCCTCAGCTAGGACCAGCACCTTCCCAAACTGGCTCTCATCCTGCCACACACACCAGATAGCCTCGGCTGGGCATGTGCCACTCCAAAATGTCTCCTTCCCTGGAGTAGGGTTGGGGATCCAGTCCTCCACACCATGCGCCTGCAACAGTCATGGTTGGAAATCATAGCCCAGCTGTCTAGGGTCCAGTCCCACATATCAGTGTGCTTGTAGCAGTAGAGGCCCATCCACAACTGGAGGGTACACATAGCCTACACACAGAGTACACCCCTGGAGGGCCTGGTTTTGCTGACTAGAGGAAACTGTGTTTCTGGGCCCCACAGGATGCCTTCCACATATGGCCACTTACTTAAGACCAGGAGACATAGCTGGCCTACTTAACACATAGAAATAAATGCATAGAGTCAGCCAAATGAGGAGACAGAGGAATATCTTCCAAATGAAAGAACAAGACAAAACTTCAGAAAAAGAATTAAATGAAACAGAGATAGGCAATAGACCTGATAAAGAGTTCAAAGTAATGGTCATAAAGATGCTCACCAAACTCAGGCGAAGAATAAACATAGTGAGAACTTTAATAAAGAGATAATATAAAAAGAACCAATCAGAACCAAAGAATACAATAACTGAAATGAAAAATATACTACAGGAAACCAAAAGCAGATTAGATGCAGTAGGAGGATCTGCAATCTGGAAGATAGGGTAATGGAAATCAGCCAAGCAGAAAGATAAAAGAAAAATGAATTAAAAAAAATGAGGATAGCTTAAGAGACCTCTAGAATATCAAGTGGGCTATCATTTCCATTATAGGGGTCCCAGAAGAAGAAGAGAGAAAGAAAGGGGCAGAAAACTTACTTGAGGAAATAATAGCTGAAAACCTCCCTAATCTTGGAAAGGAAACAGACATCCCTGTCCAGGAATAAAGCCCAAACAAGATGAAAACAAAGAGGTCTACACCAAAACACAAATAACCAAAATGTCAAAAATTAAAGAAAGAATCTCAAAAGCAGCAAAAGAGAAGCAAACTTACATATTGCTATCAGCAATCAGCTGATTTTCAACAGGAAGTCTGTAGGCCTGAAGGGAGTGGCATTATTTATTCAAAGTGCTGAAAGAAAAAAAAAAACCTACAGTCAAGAATACTCTTCTTGACAAGATTATCATTCAGAATTCAAGGAGAGATAGTTTCCTCAACAAAATAAAAGGTAAAGGAATTCATCACCACTAAAATGACTTCACTAGAAATGTTAAAGTGCCTTCTTTAAGTGGAAAAAAAAGGCCATAACTAGAAATAAGAAGATTTTGAAAGAAAAACAGCTCACTGGTAAAAGTAAACCTACAGTAATGGTAAATGAATCAACTATTTGTAAAGCTACTATGAGTATAAAAAGACAAAAGTAGTAAAATCAACTATATATACAATAATGAGTTAAGGGATACACAAAACAAAAAAAAAAGTAAAATATGACATCAAAATGAAACAGGGTGGAAAGCAAAAACATACTGCTTTTAGAATATGTTCAAACTTAAGTGATTAACAACTTAATATAATATAAACTGCTATGTACGTAAGTTGTTGCATATGAACCTCATGGAAACCACATACCAAAACCTATAATAGATACACAAAAAAATAAAGAGAAAGGAATCCAAACATAGCAATAAAAAAAGTCATCAAATTACATAGGAAGACAGCTCCAGAAGAGGAACTACAAAAACAACCAGAAAACAATTTAAAAAATTGCAATAAGTACATACCTATCAGTAATTACTTTACATACACATAAAATAAATGCTCCAATCAAAGACATAGGGTGACCGAACATATTAAAAAAAAAAAGACCCATATATATGCTGCCTATAAGAGACTAACTTCAGACCTAAAAATAAACACAGACTGAAAGTGAAGGGATGAAAAAATATATTATATGCAGATGGAAATAAAAAAGAAAGCTGGGATAACAATACTGATCCAGACAAAACAGACTTTAAAACAAAGACTGTGGCAAGACAAAGAACGATGATACATAGAGATAAAGGTATCAATCAAACAAGAAATACAAGAATTGTAAATACCTATGCACCCATCATGGGGCACCTAAATACATAAAGCAAATACTAAGAGACATAAAAGGAGAAATTGACAGTAATACAATCATAGTAGGAAATTTTAACACTCCAGTTACAAAATAAAAATGTCTCAATAAATTCAAGAAGGTTGAAGCATCTTTTCTGACCACAATGGTATGGAACTAAAGATCAATTACAAGAAAAAAAATTGAAAAAAATACAAACACATAAAGCCTAAACAATAAACAACCAATGATTCAACAAAAATATCAAAGAGGAAATCAAAAGATACCTTGAGACAAATGAAAATGGAAAGACAATGTTCCAATATCTAAGAGACACAGCAAAAGCAGTTCTAAGAGGAAAGTTTATAGCAATACAAGTCTACATCAAGAAACAAGAAAAATCTCAAATAAACTATCTTACCTTATCCAAAGGAACTAGAAAAAGAACAAACAAAGCCCAAAGTTAGAAGGAAAAAAGAAAATAATAAAGATCAGAGCAAAAATAAATGAAATAGAGACCAAAAAACGTAGGATGCACCTAAGAACTAGTTCTTTGAAAAGAAACAAAATGGATAAACCTTTGGCCAGCTCATCATGAAAAAAGAAGACTCAAAAAAATCCAAATGAAAGGAGAAGTAACAGTGAGCACCACAAAAATACATAATAGACTACAAAATTATAATAGATTAAAATGAACAATTATAGGCCAACAAACTGGACAGCCTAGAAGAAATGGACAAATTCCTAAAAACATACAACCATCCAAGACTGAATCAGGAAGAAATGGAAAATGTGAACAGACCAATTACTAGTTATGAAATTGAATTAGTAATTTAAAAACTCCAAATAAATAAATAAATAAATAAATAAATAAAGCCCAGGACCAGATAAGTGATCCTGGTGAATTCTTCACAGGTGAATTCTACCAAACATTTAAATAAGAGTTAATATCTACCCTTCTCAAAATATTTAAAAATTTGAGAGGAAGAAGTGCTTCCAAATTCATTTTATGTGGCCAACATCACCCTGATATGAAAACCAGATGCAGACACTACAAAAAAGAAAGAAAGAAAGAAAGAAAAAAAGAAAGGAAGGAAGGAAGGAAGGAAGGAAGGAAGGAAGGAAGGAAGGAAGGAAGAAAGAAAGAGAATTACCAGCCAACATCCCATTTGAATATAAATGGAAAAATCTTCAACAAAATATTTGCAGATAAAATTCAACAATACTTTAAAATACTTTAAAAGGATCACACACCACAATCAAGTGGCATTCATTCCAGGGATACTAGGATGGTTCAATATCTATAAAGCAATCAACATGATACACTATGTAAACAAATGGAGGATAAAAATCATGATCATCTCAATAGATCAGGAAGAGCATTTGACACAATTCAACATCCATCCATGATAAAAACGCTCAACAAGGTGGGTATAGAGGCAACATATTTCAACATAATAATAGCCATAAGTGACAAACAAACAGATAACATCATACTCTATTGTGAAAGCTGTTCTTCTAAGATGAGAAATAAGACAAGGATACCAACTCTCACCACTTTTATTCAACACAGTACTGGAAGTCCTAGCCACAGCAATGAGACAAGAAAAAGAAATGAAAAGCATCCAAATTGATATGGCATAGTGCTGAGAGCCTTGGTTTTCCTGCAATCCAGAAACAGCAATAGGAACAGGCAAAAAAAAAAAAAAAAAAAAAAAAAAAAAAAAAAAAAAAAA